GAGTAAGTAGGAGAAGCAGTGGTACAAAATGAGTGTTTTCACCCAAAGCTGATGGAGTTAAATATTTGCTCTTTCTCTCTCAGGGATGGAGCAAGAGGAACAGTTTAATAAAAAACCAGCTTTTTTCCCCATGGGTTTTGACCCTGCTGTGCCAGAGGGATTTATCCCAGCCCTGGGGACCCGGCTCAGCTCAGCCAGTTCCCAGGCTCCCCACCAGCCCTGGCCCTGAGCTTTTCCCCAGGGCTTTTCCTGCAGGGATAACCCCACGGCACAGCTCCTGTGGCTCACACAGCTGTGCCCAAGAGCAGCTTCACAGCTTTCTCCCTCCATTCCTGATTGCTGGGCAGGTTATAACAGCAACCTGCTCCTTAGATGCTCTGTTGCTTATTTGCAGTCTGCTCTGAGGTGACTTTGCATGCAGCAGCACCCAGATAAATGCCTGTGTGCACGTGCCATGCTTGCAGGGAAGCCTTGGAGATGTGTATGTGTGATGTGCGTGGCCCAAAGCAGCTGCAGGCTTTGCAGCAGGAGTTTGGGAGGTGTGCTGTAGCCCAACTGCAGCTCTATGGGAGATGTACTATTGCCATCTGTTCCGTGCTGGGATTTATACTGCTGCTCCGGTGAGTTACAGCACAGTTTTTCTGGATTTTTTTGTGAGGTCTGGGGAGTCTCTGAGGCCCAGCAGTTAAGAAATACAGTGGGTTTTTTTGCAAGCTGCCTAGGAAGGAGAGACCGTGGCTGATGAAAGATCAAACCCTGTTTTAAACCTGCACCTCTGCTAGCTCCCAGGGAGAGCCTGACTATCCTCTCGCACACATTCCCCTCACTTCTGCGCACGCTTTCTGGTGTTAGTTTTGTCTCTGCAGAAAGCCGTAAGAGACAGGCAGATAATGTTTTATCGCCTTATTTGGTGGGCGGTGTCCATCCATGCTCCTGAGGACTGTACGAGATGTCCTGGGAATAGAGTGAATTAACGGGGGAAAAGAAAATATCAAAAATTGCCTGTGGTGGGAAGCTGGGAGGCCAGGAGAGGATGGCATTGCCCCACGAGACCCCCAGCTCAGAGCAGTGAGGGGTTGCCATGGGTCAGCCCTGGTCCATCACCTGCTGACGCAAAGGTCCCACGACCTGGGGCGCTGGCTGTGGGACGCCCCTGGGTGCAGGGTGCTGTGCATTCAGCCCCGGCGGGGCTGCAGTGGTGTGGTTTGGGCCTGACATCTCCATCAGCTTTGGCTGTAGCCACTGGAGGTCACTGCTGATCTGCAGCTCCACATGCAAAGCCACTTTTGCAAAGGCTGGTGGGAGCCCTGCTCCCAGGTGCTGGCTCTGGGCTGCTCTGCCTCTCACCCCCTGCAAAATCCCTGGGTGCTTCTGGCATGTAGGACCTCCACTGGGAGTAAGGTCTGGCACCCCAAACCCTTCCCAATCATCCCCGTCTCCTGCTGCTGGATGCAAGGACCCTTTGGGGACTCATCGTTTCCGACTGCACAGCTCAGTGTTGGACCTCCTGGGAGGGATCCTGGCCCAGGGAACATGTACAGCTCCTGAGCAAACAGCGTTGCCAAATGTGAAACACAAAGCCCGTAACCAGCTCTTTGGGAGACAGAGGCACAATTTTCGCAGCAAGTGGTGCTGCACTGCAGCTCTCTGGGTGCCATACAGCCAGCACTGGGGGTTTGGGGCTGAAAAGTCCCTTCTAGGAGGGTTCGGAGCCAGGGCCAAAGAAAGGGGTGATTTTACAGAAATGCTTATGTCCCTTCACTGTCTTTTGCTGTTTGAGCACCCAACAAGGACTGGCAAAAATTCTCCAGAGGAGACGTGGGAAGATGTAGGGTTCAGTGGCTCAGCAGAGCTCAGTACTTCCAGCAGCAATGCAAGCTGGTAAAATCCCCATTGAAATGTCCTTGCCATTTCCAAGGGGGCTGGACACACATTTCCAGCTTTGATCCCAGCTATAGCTCCTGGATCCTTTGGCAGGATAAGTATCACCCTTCAGGACTGGAAATTCAACTTGATTTCAGGTAATGCTGTTGCTCAGCGTTTAAGTAAATCCCAGACTAAAATGTTTTGGGGTTTCCACGTGTCCTCGTCTGCAGGTAATGAGCAAACCTCATTTATTTGTTTAGGGCAAAAGTCACCTGTTACCTGCTGTAAGAGCTCACCCATCAGCAATATTATCCTCCCCCCACCCCAAGGGGAAAGGGTTGTGCTTTCTAATTTAGCCTGTGCAACGCAAACCTCAGCTTGAATGACCAATCTGCCTCTCTAAATCTCCTTGAGAGAAGGAAGGGGGAAAGAGAGCGATGGAAAAGGTCCTAAATGGCAGGTGGGTGACTTTGAGGAGTGAATGCTGACACTGAGAAAGGTTTTGGGTCCAAATAATCCTCCTCAAACATCTGGCAGAGCAGCATGGGTTTTGGGTGGGGATTGAGGCTTGGGCAGGTCTGTAGGAAAGGGGGTCACTGGGGTGGTGAATGCCAGCAGAGGTTATAGCAGCTCATCAGTGTGTAGAACACTCCAAATCAGCCCAAAACCCTGAGACAAGAGGGCTGGGAAATAACAGGATGCTCCTGGGGAAAGGGTGAAGGTGGGGAGCTGACGGGACTCGGAGCTGCTATCAGCAGCCCAGCAGAAAGCTGAGCAATGCAACCAGGGCGATACGGCTCCTTCCTCCCACGGTCAGGCAGGGATCTTCCTGTTCAGATCCGAGGGCAAGTCCCAGGGCACTTACTCTGCGCGTCCTTGGGGCTTGCTCCGAGCGAGACCGCGCTGTAATCAGCGGAGCCTTGATGCAGGGGAAGCCCTGAGTTGGAAGCAAAACTTGGATGGCCTCCAACACCTTTGCAGATGTTTGGCGGGAGAGGATACGGCAGCACCTTTGGCCCCGTGGGAATCCTCTTGCCGGGCTGCTGTCACCCCTGATGGTGCTCTGGGGGGTTCTAGGAGCAGAGGTTTAGTCCTCATGTCCCCATCCTGCCACCCCCATGGGGCATGTAGCTACACATCCCTGGGGCACCCTAAATACAGGCCTAGAAAGCAGTTTCCCTGGGAATGTGATTTTATTTAAAGGTGGCTTTGACCTTTTCTTGCTGGAAGTGCCTGTGCTATGGGAGCTGCTCACTGCCTTACTCTTCTTCTTGGCTGTGTGTCCAGAAAAGTTAATAGTCAAGCAGAGAAAATGTAAAAATACGTGGCGTTTATTTCTGTACGTAACCAAAGCGCTCATAATTCACGCCTCCAGATGGAAAACGAGACAAGTTTTCTTTCCCCAAACCAGGAGACTTAGTGCTACGTTGTCAGGCTCATAACTTTAAAAAAAAAAATAAAGCTCAACGTCCCTCTTTTTTTTCCTAAAAAGCACATTTTACAATACAAAAAGAAAGGGCTAAAAATATTTCAAAGGCATGTTCTTATCAGGAGGGAATGAAAAAATACTGCTTTTTCCTCCCGAGCCTCCCTCCAGCGCTGGAGAGGTGTTCGGTGGCTGATAACAATCCAACTTGAGAGGAGAATGCAAAACAGAAGAACAGTATTTACTTGGAGCTAATTGTAATTTTCACAAATGGTCACCAAAAGAGCCCAAATATCAGCAGAAAAGGGAAGCTGCTGTATGTCTTTGTTGTTGGAACGCTGCCTTCCCGCGCGTAGGGTTGAGGCAATCTTATCTCCATCTGCTGCCTCGATTAAAAGAGAAGGGGAGCTGCTGTTCAGGCGATAAGAGAGGCCAGAGGCTTCTCCATTAATATGTAAACTTTGGATCAAAAAGGAAGACGAGAGGCTCTAGGGAGAAGCCACCTCTCGATAGATGGGTTTTGTATCTGCGTGCACCCGCAAAAGGCACATCTCGTACATTCTGGCTGCTATAAAGTGGAGGAAAGGGATGGGATGGAGGTGTGACCCCACTACTTAACTTTTCCAGTTTGGGTCGAATGAGGGATGATTACCTAAAGTAACAGCTTTGTAATATTTGCCCAAGCTCTCTGGGATGGATTCTCAAATCCAGAAAGGACCACATCAGTCAAACACGATCTCTTGCCCTCCATGGCAACCAACACCTGCATTTGCCCCAGAAGATGGACTGAACCCCCAATAACTTATTAAAAAAAAACCCAGAGGATGGAGAATCTTCCAAAGATGGCTGTGCCCATGGTTTGAAATCATCTGGTTCCCCAGTTGGGCATTGCTGACTTCAGCTCCAGCTCTGCGGGTCACCCCTGGTAGTGTACTAACTTCTCTATTTCCATGCTGGAGTCCTGATAATCTCAAAGCACCTTTATAATCCGCTCTTTGTAAACACTAAAATGCTTGTGCTCTTGTGGGGTTTAATGGCAAGGTATTTTTTATGACCTGGGATGATTCTTCCAGGCCTGTCTCTTTTAGAAGGGAAAAGCACATGGAAAAAGTCAAGAGTAGACACTATAGCAGGAAGCAGTTGCTGAGGATCAGCATCACGACGGGGGATAAGCAGAGCTGGGATGAGATGCTTTAATACCTTGGAGACATCAACATCTCTTCCCTTTTTCCTTCAGCTGGTCCCTGCTCCAGACCCTCCCCATCTCTTTCCAACCTCCTCCAGCATCCGGTGGGTTTCCAGCATGTTTTTTTTCCCACATTTTTAAGCTCCATCCTCAATACAATTCTCCCTGTCTTGAGATGAGGATTGAGACTGCAGCTCCACTCTCTTTAGGGGCGGATGTCCTGCAATTTGCTACCCTCTTCCCTGCTTTGTTTTAACTTTGCCTTAATTTCCCCAATTTGGGGGAAAGCTCTGTGGATTGCAACTCTCTGCCTTCTTCCTTTTTATTTTATGGGGTCTGAGTGTGAATCTGACCCCCACTGACATAGAGGGTGTTCCCCCTCCTCATTCTTGCTGCCTGATGTGGCACCAGTCACATCCGTGGCAAGAGAGTGCAAATTCCTCCCAGGAGTAAGAGGATGGCACTAAGCTGTGAGGGAGCAGAGTTGCCTTCGTATGCAAATAAATGCAAACACCTTCAATTAATCCGGAAAGAACATACAATAATTGGCAACAGGTTATGCAGCATTTTGTCTCCTTTCTCTGCTTTTTCCCCTGAGGATTATTCTGGGGTGGATGGCTCTGTGATTGCACTTAAAAAAGAATTTAAAACCCCCACACTTCCTCCAGAAATAAATGTTTTTCCATGTTTGTGGACTCTTTAGCAGCTGCAAAACTGTGCATTAAAGGAGGATCATTCACTACCTCCATGGGGAACCTCCTTCCCACTGGCTGCAGATGTGGTCCCTCCTGACTGCTGATAAATGGGGAGAAAACAGCATTTTGGGGTACAGGCTTGCAGAAGGGCTGCTTGGGCTCTGACAAACTCATCCTTTTGCAGAAGAAGGATATTTTTTTCACAAGGACCAGCTTGGCTTCCAGCAAGACCTTCTCCATGAAGGGGAAGGGTTCAGGAAGAGGTGATGTCGGCCTTTGGGGTGGGGAGGGCAGGCTTGGCTCCTCTGGCCCCAGGCAAGGGGTACCTCTGGCTGTCCTGCAGCAGTTCCTTTCATGGTCTCTTCTGATGCCCTTATTGCAGTGGTTTTCTTGTTAAAAGGTGGTTGTGACAGAGTTGGGCAGGGCTCTTGACAACTCACATAGGGCTCGCAGAGGACTGGGGCACGTGGCAGGTAGTTATCCAGTCCCAAAGTGCTCTGGCTCCCCTATTCTTTTTCTGCTGTCAGTAGGAGGTTGCAGACTTTGGAGTTGGCTCGGTGCAAGGCAAAGTCCTGCCCGGGTACAGTGCCCTGCCTGCCTTTTCGAGCCGTGCTGCTCTGGTTCCCAGCAGACTTGGAAACTGTGAAGATTTCCCTGTAGGACAAGGTGACGGAAAGCTGGTCAGGAGGCTGTGGTGGTGGACCTCATCCTCCTCCCAAACCAACATATTCATCTGCAGTGCTCCTGATGGTCTAAGTCATGGCACTTCCACCTGTGTCATCATGAACCTGGGGTGTTTTCCCCCCTCCCACGCCACTCAATGAGTGTACAACCATTAATTCCCTCCTCTCCCCAAAAAGTCCTCCTTATCTCAAGCATGTCATGATGTTTCTCCAGCATCTGGCGGTATCCAGGGCTTACCTGTACGGGACCTGCTCCTTTCTCAGCTGCAAGCACATGAGCACTGGGCTGCCAGAAAACCTCAGCATGGTGTCAAAGTGGATTGAGGTCTCCAACTCCGTCTGGCTTCTCACGGTGGCTTGGAGGAAAGGGGTGTCTAGTTCTGCCTGGAAATCAATTGCAAGGCCTCCCCTGTGAGAGAGAAGCACGTGGGTCCAGTCACTGAGCAATGGCCCTGTGCTGGGCACCATGTACCATCACCAAATAACCCCTCAATTTTAAGCCTGGTCATGGAAAAGGAGCGCGTGACCAACGCCCACTAGACTCCTACCCAAAGTGTCCACCACCTCCCGGACACAGACAGCGTTGGACCCAGCAGGAGAAGAGCATGGGGGCTGTTTAAAGCCAGCCTAAGGTGGAGCATCCCTCGTGCTGGGTGCTGAGCCCCCCGGGCACCCCACATCCCCAGAGCTAAGCAGTTTCCCACCCGCTGACCTTGCGCTGATGCTGGTTTGCAGTTCCTGCTCCCAAATGCTCACATCCATGTCGGCTGAAATGTCAAGCCCCAGCCCGCCCTGGAGTTTGACAGTCACTTGGAAGCCAGACTGCAGAGGAATGACCTGGGAGATGGAGAAGGCAGGAATTGTTGTGACCGGACACTGCTGTTGGCTGAGCGACTGATGCTGGCAGTGGTGCATGGCTGCTGGGACTGCCTATCCCAGCCCTAGAGCTGGGCTTGTGTGGGAGGAACTTGTCCCATGGCAGACCCAGCCATCCCACTGTTTTACCAACCCCAAGGGACCTCTAGCAGTGCTGCCTCGCTCTTAGATGTGTGTCTGCAGTGAGTAACATGCCTAAAATTCACTGGCTCGTGGTATGGGATTCACTAGGATTTGGCACGGGGGTAGATCACCCTCTCCCATCTGGTACCTGGTGATGGTCCATCAGCAGGAGGTTCCCTTTGACCACGCTTGTGGGTTCTCCGCTGCTTAAGAGGACCTTGGCCATTAAGTCCGTATATCCCTGGAAGAAGACGATCGGCCGCAACTGAACATCAAAGAAGATGGCAGACATCCCGGCCGTGAGCTCTGACTCCTCTTCCCCTTCCAAGACATTTTCTCCCATCATCGACTCCATCCCTTGTGCTTCAATAGTGACCTGAAACAGAAACGGGGATGTGCAAGCTGCATGGAGGAAAGCTGGAGAGCCTGTTACGTGCCCCGCACCCTATTTGAGTTGTGATACTTGTCCAACCCTTGGATGGGCACCCTTTGGAACAGGGAGACAGCGATGGGATGGGTTGGATGGGGCATCCAAGCTATCCCTGAGCACTGTGCAGCAGGGGTGTCGCATCACCTCTTTTTTTGGGGGGGGTCCCAGCAGCACACCTGAGCTGCGCGAAGCCGCTGGCCGTGGCTCAGCAATGAGAAGTCGGAGACGCTC